AACAGCGTGAGGAAGGGATTGTGTTTGATGGCATAAACCAGCAGTCATGATTTAAAACATATGGTAGCGTGAGTTAGAAGAATTGCTCCCTCTTAGCCATAGCATCTTCTTTGAGCCAGAAAGTTGAAACATGTAACAAAAGCTTACATATAAAATCTTGGCAAAACAGCCAAGGTGATAAGTGCACAACATTAAACTGTGCTGTAATCTGTAAGACTTAATGAGCTCTTGTACAGTGGCTAACCTATCAATAGGTTAACCGTGATCAACAGGATAGAGGCCTACTAACCTCAATTATATTCCTTTGGGGGAAATCTCTGCTGTGCCAGCGCACACAAAAAGTATACTGTTTGTGGATGAAGCTGTAGCATGGATGAGCGTGACCCATTATCTTTTACATGCCAAGTTACCAGTGGAGGGCTTACAGAAGTTAATCTGATGTGGTCAAATGAAGAGCATTTAATACACTGTCCCTACCAGCCATCTCTCTTCTGTTTGATCCACCGACATCAGCACACTTAGAGCAATACTCTATAATGCTGCATATGTGGTTTGTTGGTGGTTTCCTTTGATTTAAATGTGCTTGATTTTGTGAATATTACTGCTTTTTCACAGCAAATAGCCACTGTTATTCAGCAATATAACTGCTCCATCATATTAAACCACAGTCTGAATAGATCAAACAAGCGGCAAGTGTCTTGTGTTCTTGAATTTAGTCAAAGAAACAGCAGTACTTGCAGCTTGGCGAATGAAACCAGCTGAACATATACTCCACAGTGTGCTTTCCTAAATTGCTCAACCTGCTGTCAGCATTGACTAAAAGAAAATTGCACAGTTGTTATCACAAGATATATTTTCGGGCACAGGTGAGAGATTTTATTGATCGCCGTAGCAGAAAGCAAAGTTTAGTTCAGTGGGATTCACCCACACACTTCATCTCCTCCTCATATATCATCATTTCCTGCGAGGCTTGCATGTCTCTCAGAAGCTTCCCTCTACCTCTGCTCCCAAGGCACAGTGAGCTCTGCCATAATATGATAATCTAAACCATAATTCGATATGCTTTATACAGTAGCGATTGACTGGTGCTGTGATTATTTGATTCTGGACCAAAGAACCTATCATCTCAATTTTCTTCCTTCCATTTTGCAGAATGATACATTCTTCTTGGACTGATGAGGAAGGACAATCAGGAAATACTACACACACACACACGAGCAGTGAAGACATTTTCCCAATTCATATTGCGAAAATGATATGATTATCTGTTCATGGAATTTATGGCTGGCGTTGCTGAGTTGGTAATCCAAAGTTCGCTTACAGACGAAATAGATTGAACTGGACTGCAAAGCTTCACTGCCATAAAATGAGAAAACTTGTTAATCACAAGCAGACACCCTTTTCCCTCGAAGTCTAACATTTTATAAGAACCACATAACCAATAGGTGCTCAAATCCATTTTTACTAATGAACATTAGTTACTGTGCTTAGGCAGTGGTGTTTTCTGCTACATGCTAACATGCTCACAATGACAACGCTAACATGCTGATGTTAGCAGGTGTCATGTTCACCATGTTCACGATTTTAGATAACACATTGCGATGCTAATTGTCAATTAGAGCTACACACAAAGTACAACTGATGCTGAACAGAGGTATGTGCTCATAAACCAAAGTATTGGGCTTATGGGGGACATGAATATCTGTACCATATTTCGTAGAGATCAATCAAATAGCGACATTTCACTTAAAACCATCATCCAGAAACCATGAATACCTGTAATACATGTTGTGCCAATCCATCCACCACATGTGAAGACATTTCACTGGATAACTCAAAGCATTGACCTGCTGATTTTCTCTGATTAGATAATTAGTCAGGATATATGTAGGTCATACACATGCAGGTTATAGAGGTGTCATTTTGACAGTAATCTTCCGAACTCTGCCCACATCACTACTAAATTCCCGACGGGGCTTATTACAAATTGTCACCACAGAGATGTGCTCTGCCTCCCAGGATATTTATAGGATGCATTATATAAACCTAATCACTCACAGCAGCCTATGGATACTAGTAAATCATGCTCCTCCTCTCTACAGCTGCAGGTTCTTCTGTCAGCTCCTCTGAGCTTTCAGCACCAAGCTTTAGGAAATGATCTGCCTTGAGTATTACTCGGCTAAGTTTATGAGTCACATAGTTAGCAGAATGTGGAATGGAGAAAATATTGCATCCATGTTAATGCAGCTGCTGGAACAGATAGTGTTTGAGACACGAGACCAGAAGAGGGGATATCATATGTCAAATCTAGGAAGATTTTCGAGGGAGCAGGTATGGGTTCTCTAAAGGACAAGACAACAACACACATGGCTGTGAAAGGACACTGGCTAGTAGAAAGTCTGTGACCTTTCTAATCATTGTTGCATCTCAGTTTGTTTCTTTCACCTGGTCGTCTCCTGGAGCAGACCTCAGCACGTTAATCCAGGTGAAACACATAATCCTGTGCTCATTTCACCAAAATGAAAGGTTAGAGTTAGCGAGAGAGGACTTAAGCATCATTTGGCTGACTTTCATTCAAGGAAGTGGTTATGTGTGTGTGTGTGTGTGTGTGTGTGTTATTTCTTTGTTAAGCATGGGGCCAGATTCTGACCAGGGCCCCATGAATGTTAGAGCTGACCCTGTTGATTGGCTGAAGGAGGCTGACATGAAGTTCGCACAGACACAGATGGGTTACGGTTAATTAAATAGCAGCCATTTATAACTCATTATACCATGACACTTACTCTGTAGTGGATGGCATAAGCACAGCAGGTCAAAAGCAAACAAAACACTTGGATATGTGTGAATACAAAAGGCTTGAATCGATCAAGCACTGAAAACTCACGGAGTTCCTCTTATTGTACTCTGCAGGTTTTATTCAACAACCTGTGAATTACGTTAATGGTGACCCTGAAATGGTCATATGTTCGAGGGGGTCCATGTGTTGGACCCGTGATGGACAGCTGACCTGATGTTTCCGCATCAGCCAAATGCTTGCTGGGGTAGCCCCACTGTGTCTCTGACTATTCATAATTACAGTCACATGTACGAAAGTCAGAAGCATGGAAAATGAGTTAATTAGTGGTTGCTGCTGTCTTAAGCGCATGGGAGGGTTAGATTGGAAAATATAACAAATAAGAGATCTGTATAGAATTTAGCTGAGAGGCCAATATCATCCAAATGTTTTTTTGTCATGCTTTGTCATATTGTGTTTTTGGAGCATTTAACACTTTTTTTGTATTAGCTGTGCTAACACAGCTCACTGGCTCTATGTAAGTGTACAGTGGATCATAATGTCTGCTGTCAAGAGTCGGAGCGAAACCTCCTCTCTGAGTGGAACTGCTGAACTGAATTTGCATCTCTCTTTCGTGCCATGTAGGCAGGAACACCCGTGTGCCTGCAAAGCTGCAGAAAAACAATATCAGCGATATTAAAATCCCCGAGAGTTCAGAAAGTCTCATGATTGTATTCTATACAAACAAAATAACTACAAAGCTCCATTTTTTTCTCTGGTTTCTCAGAAAATATGCTTGCAATTCGTTTAAAAAAAAGCCCCCTTCTGATGTGACGAGAGGATCATGGTGGACGTTCTCGGTACCATCAGGTTCTCCATTTGAGGGAACACCGTCACAGAACAGTCGACATTACAGGGGTTGTCAGGACAACCAGCTATGATTCACAGAGCCTCAGATAGGCCTCCACCTTGGGCTTGAAGCACTTTCCATGAGACTGAGCAGATGCTGTGCCAGTCAGCCAATCGCAGGTGAGAGAGAGGAAAAAGATGACATCATAGGCAAATTAGGGCAAATGCAGCGAGGATTTTGGTTGTCGTCTCCGCCTGCTTATGAACCCAGTCACTTTAATACCCTTAAAATCTGGAGGCGGTAGGGGAAAAAAAATAATTCTGGGTTCAATTTTGGTATCATTTCCAAATGTCCAAACCGGCCGTGACAAAAATAAAGCTGGAGAGTGCATACAAAACTGTCAGTGAAGCATTTTAACAGACACATTTGCACTACCTGTCAAAACTATATGTACATAAACATATATATAATGGGTGAAAAGCATTACAATAAGGTAAACCGGTGCACAGAACATGAATACTAACACCATGATATGTCATAGATTACCTTTTATCAATAGGGAATCCTCTTTGTTCAACATTTCAGTGATGAGAACCAGTATACGTTCACGGGGAAACTTGTTAGAATGTCATAAACTACTGTCAGCGGTTTGTGGAATCTTAAACATCTTAAGAAGCAGATAGCACTACAGGGAGTTTGTTAAATAAACCAGCAGCATCTACCTGTTAAAAAAAACAAACAAACAAATGTTTATCATCTCTATTTATTTCAGGACTTAGATCATTTAAAAATGAAACAATCCCCCTTCTTACACAAAATAAATGTGTTTGTACTGCAGACATATATATGTTGGGAGGTGTTTGAGATGCATTTCAGAAATATTTAAAATGCAGAGTTTTCTGCATGTGATTAGTTGTGTTCTGCTTGTTGAACTCAGCACTTTTGATGCAAATTATCACATTTTATTGTATTTCTTTACAATTAACTTGTTGTATTCTTCCGTGGTCTATATATACATTGTTAAACTATAACTTTTAGAGGAACCAGGGCATCTAACGCAGCTCTTTAAAGGCCTTGTCAGTTCAGATTTTGCAGGTAAAAAACACACCTTTGCAAAGCCTGTATTTGTTAAATTGTCAGTTAATGTATGAAGTTGTACTAGTGTCCCTGTAGTATGAAATAACACAGACCACCGCCTTAGAAAATGCATGTAAAATCGCTCCCTCCCTCCTGGCCTTCTCACTGAGCAGGTTTGTTCTGTCAAACAGAAAACCAACCCTGTCTCCCCGTTGGCTGTCTCCTCCCACAGAACCGCTTCCCGTATTAATATTCAGCCTCTCGGCCAATCAGCGAAGCAGGGCGGATGACATCATGGGCTAGGGAACAGTGAGCAGCCAGTGAAGCATCCAGCCTGCCGAACAAGCTTGCTTCTTTTTTTTTAGGGTCAGGAACTGGTCTGACGAGAGAATGGCAATCCTGCCTTTAAACTGTCAGTAGGACTGTGCGGCTGACGATGAATCTACCAGAGCTGCGGGCCCCACGGCGAACCACTGACCAAGAGAATGTGAAGACATATTTCAGGTAATTCCCTCTCTGTGTATGGCAATACGGGATGTGGAGGGGAGGAGGGAGGAGAGGAGAGGAGAGGAGGGGGAGGCTGTGTATGTAGGGGTGCTTTGTAGCCTCTTTTTTTTTTTTTACCTCCTCCTGCCTCCTTTCTGCCCTGCTAAGAAGGCAGCTGTTTCATCAGCAGTCTGTGTCCGTGAGGGCGAGATGGAAATGGATGCATGCATCAGATGGGCTGGAGATGTATTTGTGTGATCATATACCCCCCCCCTCTTCTGCATCACATCATCTCTGTGTGCACTCCCTAGTGCCTCGCAAATAGCATCTCTATTGATGGGGAGGTGTTAGAATCAATGGTGGTGCTTGTGCAGGCCTTCTGTGTGTGTGTGTGTGTGTGTGTGTGTGTGCGTGCGCGTGTGTGCGTGCACGTCAGTCGTGGAGAAATGCAGCAGCTGCAGTGGCAACACTGGAACAAAAAAGAAGCGATGCTATTTTGGGTCTGTAGACCAGAGGCTAATGGATGGATCAGAGCTGTGTATGCTGTGGATTGGGGGGGTGATGGATGGTTAACATGCTGATGGATGCTCTTTTGTTATCTCTGCACTGCCTCACCTATGGCCTTTCATGAAGAAATGTCTTTTATTTGATTTATTTAAGTCATTCAGTGACCACACACACACACACACACACACAAGCAGAGATGTGCCGCTGTCTCCAGGCTTTAACATGGATGTGTGTGTGTGTGTGTGTGTGGCAGTTTCATGGCGGCTGTAGTGACAGGGAGATATACAACATCTGGTCACCTGACTTCATTTGGGGAGCGGAGTGGGGGCTGGGGCCGGTCCTATGAAAGCTGAGCTACATACTGCCTCAGATTCTTCCACAGCCATCGGTGGATGTGGAGGACGGAAGGAAGGGTCGGCCGCAGTGGTGAACGTGTATCTCCCCCGTCACTTCTGCTCATTTAGATCGGGGCTTCAGAGCTTATGTGGAGGGAGGATTCATCTCCGAGGGGAGGGGGTTGCGGGGGGCGCAGTCATCCTCCAGGTTTGTGAGAGGCAGGGGCCTGATGGGAGACCTGTTGTCTGGCTGTCGCGTGACGGAGGGATGTAAGAGAGTCATGTCAGTGATCGAGGGAGGATGAGAGGGGAATTGGGGGATGGGATGCTGAAGGTGCTGCTCCCCTTTGAACATTGGGGATCACATCTATGTTATATTGATATAGATGTGATACGTGCCCTTCCATTCATCACTAATCTGTCCAGACACCATGACTACACTCATTTCACTGCGTTCCCTCAAGAGTTTGTATTGTGTCCACTGCTCTCTCCTTTTGGATGGAAATATCAAGTGTCCCTAACGACCAACATGATGGCCCCTCCTTTTGTCATTTTTTCTCAGTTCAAAAACATAATTTGAGGATCTAAACTGTTGTTTCTTTGGAGTACAATTGGGGAATTTTGTCAGTGCATGACATATTTTAATAACACTTTACACAGCACTGGGCTTGGCAGAAGACACCAGGCCCACAGTGGTGATCTAATGCAGTGTCAGAGACAAGATATACTATTAGAGTGTTTGGTATTTATACATCCCTGGTGTTCAAGTGATCTGTGAAATCATTGCTCTGGTGTCTCAGACACTGTGCAACACAAGCATTATGTATTCATCACACCTTTTATCTACACAGGTCTGTTACAGATAAACGGATTAATGGCTCTGTTTTGTGTATGTGGGTCTGGGTAAGCTGCGTACCATCATTTAAAGTATTCACAGAGGCCTTTGTCTCTGTGTAGGTTACAGGCACCTCATGAAAATGTTACGTCCGCAAAGAATCTGCATGTGCGCTCTGTAATACTAAAAATAACAGTAGAACTGCTCCCTAAAGCAGAGTGTTTATAGTGTAAACAGCAATTGTGGAGGCAAAATTGAAGCTTATAGTGGCTCGGCTTTTCATGCAAATGTTTTCAGAACTGACCCTTATCAACCAGAACTACTACTTTTTTTATTATTATTATTAGAAATGTACCGATATCAGACCGGTACGGACTCAAATAGCTGGATCTGGTATCAGACACAATTATTTCAATTAATAACTATTCAGTACATGTATTTATTGGTTACATTTAGTTTTACAAAGTCAAGAAAGTGATGTTTAGGTCAAGCCGGATGTAGATATTAAAGAATGATCCCACTCACTTCTTCACAGTAAGAAATACAGCTTATTGATAAAAACACTGGCGTCGGATTGGAACTCGATATTGGACGATACCAAAAACCCAGTGTTTTTTTAAAAAGGCGAATCGGTGCGTCCCTAATTTATTAATAATGTAATATCTGTGAAACACCTAGAGTTCTAAATACATTTCAAGATTGAAGGACATGGAGAACATGTAGATGGAGAGAAAACCATTCACTAAATCCACACATGGATTGTTATTTACTGTATCTTAAAGTATTTTTGTACGCCACTGTAATCAATGTCTTTTCCAGCTTGACAAAAGAAATAACATTTTACTTGAATAATTTTATTCTATCTTCATTTGTCAGGCAGGTATTTTGTGCTATGCTGCGTACCAGGACCTCATTATCTCTTTGCCTACTTGGATAAATGTACTAGATGTTTGTTATTTTCGTGTTTTTAATATTATCATCTGTCCAGACCTGAGTGAACAAAATAAAAACATCTAACCTGCCACCACATATAAACATAAAATGTCCAGCACCTTTATTTAACACGATCATAGACACATCAGAACTTTTATTGGTGAACCATTTCATGTGTCTCTGTGGCTATTAGTGTGCAGTCCTAGGCTTCCCCTAGTTTTCCACTGGCCAGTGTAACCCAACACACACAGCTTCTCTTACCTCACCTCGGCTAACAAAAGCAGTCGACACACAAACCTTCGTCTTGGCGTGTCGCCTGCTAGCTGGGCTGCCTGAAATACGATAGCGGGACGCACAACACATACAAGTGGGGCCTCCATCTGTTGAGGACTTAGTCTGGATGAGTTATGCTGCTATTGTTCAGTGCAGTTACCGTTTGGGACTCTTGTTGACAGTTTATGAGTGTGTAGTGGCCTCATGTGGGGTGTTTGTGTGCATTTTAAGGGCATAGCCCACTAAAGCTGAGCAGTCGTCTTGTGGTAGGTGTGTCAGAGCTGCAGCCTGTGTGTTGTGGATTAGCATGTAGGATTGGAAGCCATCTGGCCATTTTGTCTTGGAAAGGGGAGGGGTGGTAAGTGAGAGAGATGGATGGAGAGAGACAGAGGAAACACTCACACACTGACACATTGACACAGCTCCTTTCGTAATCTCCCTACTTGATGTCTGTTGCTACTTAGAATGAGGTTGTGTGTGTGTGTGTGTGTGTGTGTGTGTGTGTGTCTTTATGTGTCCCTCTGTGCACTTTGTGACAAAGACAGTCCTTCTGTGACTTGTACCGTTTCCGACATATCAAACACAAACTGCAAATGTGGCCTCGAGATGGTCAGAGCGACGTCTTGGGAGGATTCGTGATCGCTGGAAGTGAGAGGTGTTCAAGCCTTTTACAGTAAGATGATGCAATGGGGGGGTGAGGGAGACGTTCCAGATGGAGGGAGACCGGAGAGAAGAAAAAGGGTGAAATGTTGCAGAGGAGGAAAGGAGTTCAGGGGGGTTTAAGAGATTAACAAGTTTCACTGGGGTCAAGTTTGCCGAGAGTTGCAGAAGGGGTCTGAGGCAGAATGGAAAGACTGCGGATGACTTAGATGTGGTTCAAAAATTGACTATAAGAAGAATTGCTGCGATTGTTCTAAACACACATGTTGGCCCTCATTCTGTTTCGTATGCGCTGCATCTCCTGAGATGTGTGGCAGCACGCTACCTCTCAGTCGAGTCTCTTGTTGACACAAATGTTACACCCGTGTTAGTCTCTGTAAAATCATACCTCAGCTATATGCGTTTGTCTAGTTGTAGTGATGACACAACAGCTGGACCATGTGATGAGCAGTGTAAAGTTGTGGAACATGATACCGAGCGAAATTTCTATAGATATAGAGACACACAGGAGGATATTACACCTAATCTCAAAACAATATGTTCACTGACCTCACATACATGCACACGATACATAGAGTGACAGCATGCACATATACACTGTTTTCTCCCCCCATGTTCTCTTACAATGTGCATTTTAACCCTTTCAACGGGACTCAGAGCAGGTGCACCAACTGGCTTTGCAGGAGGGAATCCACTCCCCTCTCTGCCTCCAGCTGGCACTCAGACAGGCCCACCCATGCATGCACACTAATGCAAAACCACAACAACAACACACTTTTGTAGCTTAAAGCGTGAAATAGAGCATTACCTATGCTTGGTGCTCACATATTTGTCAGGCACAAAGTTAATGTAACTGAAATCATCGAGTACCGTTTGATTGAAGACGGACTAGTTACAGTGAAGGAGCAAAGACAGTGTTTTTGATCACATTAGACCAAACCTAGTAGGCTTTGGTCTTGATTGCTTGAATGCTTTTTCAAGTTCAAGGAGAGATGTGATGGCGACTTGAGGGATGTAGACACCACTTCTGCTGAAATTACATTCTGCAGTATATCTGAAATTCATAGACGCTGACAGTGAGAAAGTGTCAGTTTGAAGGACGGTCGAGTCACACACGGGGAACCGTTGGCGTCTCTTGCTCGTCATCTTGAAAACTGATATGTTCTAACGTTCTTTACTGTCAGAGTATTCATTCCATTCATGTGTTCATGGTTTCAGCCATCAACATGGGGCATAGCTAGGAGGGTTAGTTGGAATTTCAAAGTATTCAAGGTTTTGGGCATCCCTGCGGCCTAGCGGTCCAAGACACGTGATTTATGACTGCGATGTCTTCTGTTTGATTATCCTGCTGTCTCCTCGTCTCCTCGACCAACTGTCAAATAAAAGACATAATGCCATATATATATATATATATAT